CATATGAGTGAGATCATACAGTAGACACTCTAATGTTTTAAAGGAAACGTTAGACATTTATGAATAAATTCTGTTAAACAGTCACCTCATCATCCATTCTATTCTTTTCTAAAGTTTCTTCTTAGAATTGCATGTTTTGTTTTCTTTTTAGCCTTTTAAGAGAATTTTGTCAAAGGGAAAGTAATTACGAGCATGACTTTCAGTTAACTATCTAGAAACCATTGTTTTTGCCAAGTTTTACTTCCTTTAATCCATTCATCAGCCGGTATTGTCTGAGCACTAAGTGTACTCCCAGGATGTGTCTGCCAGGTGCTGCGGGCTGACTTCATTATTATCAACACTAATTATTATCTTTTTCTAAGACATATTTTTATCTCACTTTCAAGTTGAAATGCACAGACTTTAAGTATACAGTGTGTTATGGTTGGGCAAATCTAGATGTACAACATTTCTCTCACTTCGGAAAGTTCCCTTATCCTATTTTATGCCTTTTATTTTAAACTTTGTTTTTTCCCTACCAGATATTAAGACACCTGAGCTGAAATTTGGAAAGTCTCCTACGAAGCTTAGTACTTCGCATTCGTATGATTTCCTGGATTCTACAGACAGAAACTACTTTGTGGAATTATGGGCCAAACTTTCAGCCAAAAAAACACCAGTGGTAAGGAGGGACAGAAGGGCAAAGCTACAAATGAGCATTACAGTGTCAGACAAAAAGGGGATTTAATATTTTGAGGTTAATAAGTTTCCCCAAAACTATTCTCTTGCTAGTGTCAGCTGAAGACGAATTTTTTTTGCCTCTTTTTACACCTCTAAGAATAGTCATAGGTTCTAAAAATAGAATATTCAGTGTAGATTTTGTGAGTACTTTTTCCCGAGACTCCTAGTCAAAACTCTTGACACTCAACTCTTTATTTAGCAAGAATAGAAAAGCACTACAATAGAATTAATGCTGTAAAATATGTATTTCAGGGGAAAACTTACTTTGTTTTGGGACATAATTTTAAATTCTTGTACTGAGCCTTCAGTGAGTCCACTCAAAGAGTCCAGGTGTTATAACTTAACACTATTTAACCAATCATGTAACTTAGTGCCAACTCGGTTCTCTGAGAACTCGGAGTAATCAGTATGGGCAGGAGTATTGAATTCAGAATTGGCACTACCTTCAAATTAGATTGTGTTCATTTTCCATTTGTAATACTTTTTATGTGGTTCTGGGAGTATGAAGAGACCTAAATCATTGCAATTACAGTTGCCACAAAAGCGACAGAACTTCTGTTTCAGGTGTTAACTCCTTGGTTGTATTTCCTTAAGGCTAGCCAGTTCTAAGCAAATAATCAGATCACCTTCTAAAGTCAGAACCATCAGCAGTGGTCAGAAGAATCAGGCTGGTTACTTCCAACAAAAAGTCTCAGGCCGTGGTATATACAACAGATTCACTCTTTAGAAATTAGTGCAAATATAATACTAAATTGCTGCTGTTATAGATATGGGGTGAATTTGCCTAAGATTATTTTTAGTGCCTCATTTTCTTTTAAAGATTATGAATTCAATGCTATTTTGAAATTTTAAGTATTTATACAATTTTAGGACATTTCATAGGTTATTAACATTTTGCATAGCTATTATAATGCTGCAAAATAAACAATGTACCTGTTTAAGATCATCACAACAGAAGCTTGAGTGAGATGGTATGACGTTATGTTAGAAAACATAGTGCAACCCATAGGAGAAGATGTTATTTTCCTCATTTTACTTTCTCAACATAAATTTCTGTGTATTTTTGGAACTTTTTAGTGAATTGAAGAAAATAATTGCAACTTCCTCTGTCAAAAATCTGTATCTTAAATTGTCCAAAAAAAAAAAAAGTAGAAATTTTTCTGCTTTTCTGTAGATTTGGTGTGTTTATATTTACCTTTGGAAACTATCAAGACAGCCATTTGACAGTGATGGACAGAGTAGAAATTCCCATTGTCAATGCTTTTTTGATTCTGTTTCTCTGGAGCACTCTTCGTGCTTATATTGAAGACTGCATTCTTCCTCTCCACTCAAACGTACCCCAAACTCACTGTGTACATGAGGTCTTTCAGTCTAATCTCTCTATTCTAATATTCCACTCTTTCCTGGTGCATAGTTTATAGCTATATGTATGTCAAGGTGTGGTTACAAAATAATGAGGCTGGTTTTTTGAGTATCTTACGGAAACCAGTCTTATTCCTTGGTAGTCACATATACACATGTCATAACTAGTTGGCTAAGTGTATATTTATGTGTGTGTTTGGTTCTGTGTGTATTTCTAGTCTATACTTGCTTCTATCTACATTTAGTTATTGGCTCCTTGACTTAAGAGGAAATGCACTGACTTGGAGTTCATGGGACAGTCTTGCTACCTACTGGATGGTATTACAAAAGTCACTTATCTGCTATGACATATCATTTCCTCTTCTATAAAGTGGAGCTAATAATACCTACCTTACAAAGTTATTGTATCAAATGCATATGAAATTTCTTTATAAATTATTGACCACAAAACAAATGTTAGTTGTTGTTAAGATGATAATGGTTGGCAGGGAAGGGAGAAGGGGTTCAGGCCCTCAGCTGTACTTCTTTATGTTCAAGAACAGCAGCTCTCCTTTGGAGGATCATCAACATCCTGTTAACATTAAGAACCTTCAGATTTATGAAAAGTAATTTCTACTTCTACTTCCAATAAAGGCAGACTTGGCAATTTGGACTAGCCTTCTTACTGAGTATAACTAGAAGACCTGGACCAAAAAAACCCCCAAACCTACCTGAAGGTATTAGAAAGCAAACAGAAGAGTGGAAAATTATCTGGCCAGGAATTAGGGAGGGAGGATGATCCTGAGAGGTGAGCTGGGTAACAGAGACCACTTTTCCCTGTTGACCTTTGCCAATTGAGATTGGCATGGTTGAGGGGCTGACTTGGCGCTTTTGACAGTATTGTGGGACTAAGACAATAGCATTGAAGTCTGAGGTCCACCAAGGAGGAAGCCCTGAGGAACCATACTTGCTTTGGGTTAATACTTGAAGGGCTGCAACTTTGAACAAAGGTGAACAAAAAGTATTCAGGACTTCATAGGAACTGCAGTTAAAGGTTACATACTCGCATCCTTGGAATTACATTGAAAAGATCCCAGATTTCTAGTGTCCTTAGGTCCCTGACAGAAAAAAATTTCTATAGATATTTTTGGAAATACAATGTCTAGTGCACATTAAAAAATAACCAGGTACACAAGGAGATGGGAAACATGAACTAAAGGTAACAGACTCAACAGGTAATAGAAGTCGGCCTACAGGGCCTTCAGATTTTGGCAGTATCAAACACACATTTTCAAACCTCCAAGTATTGATGTTATCAAATCCAAACTTTAAAATAATGGTGCTTACAATTTCCAAGATGCAAAACAAAATTGGAAATTTCAGCAAAAAAAAAAAAAAAGATAATTAAAAAATAAATGGAAATTATAAAACCTGGGGGAAAAAACAGTAACTGAAATTAATATCCAATTAGACACAGCTTAAGAGAGAATTAGTGGACTAGAAAATTGGTAAGAAAAATAGATTGTAGACAAAAAGATGGAAAATACAATGAAAGGGTAAGAGATATAAAGCAAACAATGAGAAGATTTAACATGTGTTTTTGAATCCTAAAAGGGCAGGAGAGAAAAAACATAAGATTTGAAGAGATAATGGATGAAACTTTACAATCCTGACAAAAGTCATCAAGCCACGAAATCTTGAGAACCCAATTTAGACACACACAGTTTTAAAATTATATTGTACTCAAAATCAAGACAAAAAAAAAAAAATCCAAAGATCAGTCAGAGATGAAAAATATACTTTCAAAGGAGTAACAATTAGGCTGATAGATGACTTTCCAAAAGAAATGATGGAAGCAAGAAGACAAAAGAATATCTTTAAAGCAATAAAAGAAAATTATTACCAACATATAATTTTGGTTCCAGTGAAAATATCCTTCAGAAATGAAGATAAAGATATTTCCAGACAAAAGAACAGACAACTTGTCACAGAAAATCTACATGAAAGGAAACACTAGAGAATTTTCTTTAGGCAGAATGAAAATTATCTAAGACATAAGGTCAGACATAGAAGAAAGAATGAAGAGCAAGAGAAAGGGTAAATATGTGAATACATCAAAAGGTATATTGACTCTATAGAACAATAATGACTTTTCCTTAAATATACATAGAATTAAAGTATATAAAATTAAAATATACAACAATTATAATGTCAAGAAGGGTATAAAGAAAGATAAAGTGTTCTAAAATTCTTACATCTGAAATCCAGGAAGAGGGTAAATATAATAATTAATATCAGACTTTCAGACTTTGATGATTCAAGGACATGTAATTTAATCTCTAGGATGACACTAAAAGATGATTTTTGTTTTGGTGAGGAAGATCAGCCCTGAGCTAACATCCATGCCCATCTCCCTCTATTTTGTATGTGGGATGCTGCCACAGCTTGGCTTGATGAGCAGTGCCTAGGTCCACGCCTGAGATCTGAACCTGTGAACCCTGGGCCGCTGAAGTGGAGCACATGGACTTAACCATCACGCCACTGGGCCGGCCCCTAAAAAATGATTTTTTAAAATGTGTAGATTTAATATCCATACCTAGAAAGATGTAAAACATATTATTTAGAAAAATCAAAGACTTAAATAAGTGGAGAAATAGACCACATTCATAAATTGCAAGACTCAATATGTGTACAAATGTCAGCTCTCCCCAAATAGATCTATAGATTCAGCACAATCCAGTCAAAATCTCCATAAATTTTTTTGTGGAAATTGATAAGTGGATTTTAATATCTATATGGAAATGCTAGTATTGGCACAAAAATAGGTTAACAGACCAAATAAGAGCCTCCAAACAGACTCAAGCACATATGGAAAGTTGATTTATGAAGAGGAGTGGCACTGCTGAGCAGTATGAAATAATAATTCTAGAAGACAATCTGAGAACACTTTCAGACTTTGAAGTGGGGGGAAGATTTCTTAAATGTAATACAAAAATCACTAATTACAAAGGAAAAATTTGAAACATTGAGGTACATTAAACCTAAGAACTTCTGTTAATAAAAAAACAGCAGTAAAGAGGAAAAAAGGCAAACCACAGAGAAGGAGAAGATATTTACAATTAAGTATAACTGAAAAAGTGTTCGTATCCAGAATAAAGAACTTCTACAAATTATTAAGGAAAAAACCAGATAATTTATGGAAAAATCACTTCACAAAAGATAATATCTAGATGGCCAATAATCATTTGAAGAAATATTCAACCTCACTATCAGGAAAATGCAAATTATAACCACAATGGGATACCACTATACATAAACTAAAAGTACTAAAATTATGATCTGACTTAAGATGTGAAGCAATGGGAATTCTTATAAGACAACTGGTGGGAGATTCAATTCATACACTTTAGAAAATAGTTGGGCATTATTTACTAAACTGAACAGACACATACCCTGTGCTTCAGCAGTGGTATTCCTAAGTATATACCCAACAGAAACGTGTGACCGTGGGCACCAAAAAATATGTACAAGAGTGTTCGTAGTAGCATTGTTCATAGTGGTCCTAAACTGGAAACACAAATGTCCATCAGCAGTAGAATG